CTAATGGCCAACAACAAGGAAGATTTGCAGAGATTGATGGACATCTGCGGTAATGAGGGAGATAGGTTAGATTTTAGATTCAGTAAGAAAAAATCAGCAGTCATGATTTTCAATGACAACGAAGGTAGTGAGCTTAGGATATAGGAGGTCACGCTAGAGATAACAGATAAGTACAAATATCTGGGCATATGGATAAGCAATGGGTCCGAGTACCTGAGGAAACACGAAATATACGTGACGACTAAAGGTAACAGGACTGCAGCAGTGATGAAAAATAGGGCTTTGTGGAATCACAATAGGTATGATGTTGTGAGAGGAATATGGAAAGGGGTCATGGTTCCTGGGCTGACGTTCGGCAATGCGGTCTTGTGCATGAGATCAGTGTTCAAGCAAGATTAGAAATTAAGCAACGTGGAATAGGTAGGCTTGCTTTAGGAGCTCACGGGAATACACCAAATCAGGGAGTACTAGGTGATATGGGATGGACATCATTTGAGGGCAGGGAAGCTAGCAGCAAGATAAAATTTGAGAAGCGATTGAGAGAAATGAAGGAGGAGCGTTGGGCTAGGAAGGTTTTCTAGCTACTTGTACATGAAGAATGTCGATACAAAATGGAGGAAGCGAACCAGGAAGTTGACTGGTAAATACTTAGAAAACAGCAGGTGGCCAAACCAAAAAGAACTATCCGTTAAGAAGAAAGTGAAGGAAACGAAGACTGACATGTGGAAAATGGGCATGGTTAAGAAGTCCGCACTAGAGATCTATCGAACTTTTAAGCAGGATATCGCCACGGAAAGGATCTATGAGAATACTCGGGGTAGTTCTCTACCGTTTGAGGCAAGGACGGGAGTACTGCGAACCAAGACATATAGGGCCAAATACGAAGGGGTAGACACAGTATGCAGTGCATGTGGAGAGAAAGAAGAAACTGCCGAACACTTGATAATGTTCTGTAAAGGGCTTCACCCTATAGTTCAGGATGATGGCGCAGAGGTTTTCAAAGCACTGGGGTTTAAGGACCGGGAGGGCAAAATAGACTTTAAGCGGGTAGACTTAACTAGAAGGAGGTTATCTGATTGGTGGCTACAGTCAAGGCACGAGTGAAAATTAAACTCTTCACTGCAAAGTACGAATCCTCAAACTCACTTTTTAAGGAAAAATAAATATAATTTTTAGTTCATTAAGTATTACGGCTTGGTGGCTAGCGCCACCACCCGATCTAAAGGGTACAGCCATATCCATCCATCCATCCATCCATCCATCCATCCATCCATCCATCCATCCATCCATCTCCGCGAATTGATGTATGCATGTGATATATTAATAATGGCCAACAACAAGGAAGATGTGTAAGGGGTTGATAGAAATCTGTGGTAATGAGGAAGATAGGTTAAGCTTGAAGTTCACTACGGAAAAAATTGCAATCATGATTTTTAATGATGATGACGGCAGTGAGCGAAAGATACAGGTAGTGAAGTTAAAATTAGTGGACAAACTCAAATTATTGGGCGTAAGGACAAACAACGGGACTGAGTACTTTAAGGGAGCACGAAAAATAGGTAATGACTAAGGGTAACATGAATGCTGATGTAATTTAAATTGAGAAATGTCGAACCAGAAAAGCTATGATATTGGGAGAGGGACTTGGAAAGGCGTCATTGTTTCAGATTTGACGTTCAGCAATGCGGTCGTGTGCTATAAATCAGAGGTTCAAACAGGGTTGGAAATAAACATTTTGGTAGGTGTACACTTGCTTTGAGAGCACACGGGAACACTACACATCAGGGGGTACTGGGTGACGTGGGATGAGCATCGTTCGAGTGCAGGGAAGCTAGCAGCAAGATAGAATTCAAGGAGCGATTCAGAAAATTGGGAGAAAAGCATTGAGATAGGAATATTTTCAGCTACTTGTACATAAACAATGTTGATAATAAATGAAGGAAGCTAACTCGAAAATTGTCAAGCAAGCATTTAGACAACAGCAGAATACCACACAAAAGGAAACTTCTCTATTGAAAAAACGCCCACCATAGGAATGGTGAATTCTACCATCCACCATTTTGGTGGATTATGGTGGTGGAATTGTTGGTGGCACATGGTGTATGGTGGCGTATGGTGGAGCGGATGGTGAATGGCGTGCTCCAGCCTGCAGTGCTGGAGCGCGAAGAAGCGTCAGAACCACCGTGACGAGCTGCCACTAAAGAAATAATAAAAATGATTGTGTATAAAACGATGTACAAAGCCCCGCAAAAAATCGATCCTGCCACTTTTGTATGCGTAATTGAACGCACTAACCACTGCGCCACGCCGACAGATGGCGGATGTAGAGTTAAGAAGTAGTCAACACACAAACTCACTTTTTAACTTCAGTTTTGTTTGTCGCTTATTTGAGATTGACGGGATGTGCAACTGCTACTAACTTTGGCACATTTTATAAGCATGAACAATTGCTGCATGTAACGATTGCCACTGCGATAATGGCAACAGCGCTATGTTTGTGTTACAATTTACAACCGCAAGAAAAAAAAAACAACTCAGTGAATGGAGGAGCAGGTAGAGTTTATCGGCTGTTACTGCCGTGTTTAATTTTTGTTTCTCGCTCCTTCCAAAGGGATATATCTGTTCAGGCTTTATGACGCTTCTATGCTCATTTGATAGATACGCCCACACAATTGATTGTGCTGTTTTTCGGGCAACGAACAGCGCAGTCGTGCCAGCGCACCGCTGCTGATCTGTCGTTTGGAACAGCTATATAATGGCTTGACCAAAACGAAGGCAGTGTGCCAGAAACATTATGCGATCGTATTAGTTCAGTAAGCATCATATTGGTTCAGTAAGCATACAAATTGACGAGTCTGTGTTCTCGCATAAAAGCCCGCGAAGGGCCAGTTAGTGCGACGGGCAGCTGTCGGTGAAAAGAGGCGTACATTTAGTGGAGGTGCTTGCTGCAAGCGCGTCCCATCCATATTTGTCGCTTTTTGCGCGGACACCGTACACTGTAAAAAATGCTTCATTTAGGTTGAATGATGCAACAGCTGTGCTGTTTTGTCATTTTTATTTGTCAACTTTGTGCATTCTGAAACTCAGAAGCACCGATAACTCTTGTACGGGCTCCGTCGGTAGGATTAACCTTTGGTGGAAATTGTGGTGGTAGAACAGAAGAGTGAAATTCATATTCGCTGAGGCTCGTCTCGACCCATGATTAAAGTGAAAGTTTGTGCATATTTACATGAACTTTGTCAATATAAAAGTGCGACTCAAGCAATCGAGTGTGCAAGAATCGCCAGGGTTGCGTTTCTAGCTTGTTAACATCAAGTGACCGCTGTGTTCTGCTCTAACATTGAAAGAAGCAATTGCGAACTGGAGCTCATTTATTTCTCGACAACTGCGCGCCGATATAAAACATTCATTGTCACTGTTCACAGTGAGATCTCTAGTATTCCAAACATGACAACAAACGAACACATCGCGGATGTCAAACTGCTGTAAGTACGCGTGCGAAATGAAACATAATCACGGCCGCATATTCTACGCTCCACAAACATTGAAGAATTGTTGATACCACTGGAATAAAAAACAAACATGCTAGAAAGCGCAATGGGCAGCGTCAGTTTCGTTTGACCATAAACATATATCTCTACGCATAAAATATTTAAACACTAAAAATAAGAGATTTTACATACTTTCATGTGCTTTTTCATCATGCCACCACGATCATCCAAGCTTTCATCACACCACCTTCTTCCACCTGACTTCCAAAGCCTTTCACCAAGCACGTTTTGCCTCGCCACGATCAGCCGGCATTTTACACCGTCACCACCATTTGTTTGCCACCACCACCACCATCTGCCACCAGTTTTTCTCCTGTAGCCTTCATCAGCCGGCATTTTCCACCATCACCACCATTGGGGAGTCTCTTTCGAGCGTCCAGTGCGAACGCACGTGTTTTTCCTAGCTCTTGCGTCGGCGAGAGACGCTGCAGCGTCTCTGTCGTCTTCGAATGATTGCTGTCAGAGTATTGCTTCAATCCTCCAGAATCATACACCCTTCGACAGATGTCATTGAGAGGATTCTACCAAGCCCATTTTTGACCTGGTAGGCCCATTTTTCACCCTTCTTAAATAACTTTCTACGACCGGGCATCCGCCCGTGCCGACGGAATGGCATCATGCCGGAGGTGATGGTGGTGAACGGGGAAGTTATTTCGCAAGAAGACGCTAATGCGCCTGGGTGGCAGACTGCTCTAGACAAGAATAAGCTTTCTCCCCGACAACAAGCGACTGCTTCGTCTCAAAGTGGAGGAACGGCTGGCCATCGCACGGCCACCGCGCATGGCGTCGCTCGGTGTCTTGCAGCCGCATCGAGGCTTCCCTGATTGACGAGGAGCCATATTCGAATCATAGTCAGACCGAAAGGAAGTCTGGATCTCAGGAAGGTTAGCCTAATTCGTCTAGCTCAAGCCCTGGAGACGGCAGCAAAATTGTCCTCGGAAGAAACACTGGGAGATATCGTCTGCCTGAACATAACTCAGAATATCGTTGTGGTCTCTACGCCAGCGTCCCGCAACGCGGGCGCCTACGCGGCGCTGCGACTTATCCGCCTTGGCTCGACTGAGTATCACGTTTCGGCCTACACGACCGCTTCTGACGATACCTGCAAAAGTGTCATCCAAGGCGTCAACGTGGACATCGATGAGCGACAGTTGGCGGCGATGATCGTCAACCAGCCAACTCTGAAGCCATGGAGGTGCATCGCATCAAAGAAACGACTACTGTCGTCGTTCTCTTCAGTGGTCTCAAGGTACCCAACTATGTTATGCGTGGTTCGAGCATGCTACGGTGTACTTTGTACAGGAGACAGACTAACGTTTGTTATGGATGTGGAGCTCTCGGGCATTGTGCCGATGTCTGCCCGACACCGACGAAGAAAGTGTGCCGCGGGTGTGCTGTCAACAATCCCACAAACGATAACTAATGCCAGCTGACATGTGCCTTGTGCAGGGGGCACATCTAACGGCCGACAAGTCCTGCCAGCATCGATTTCAAGTTCCCTACTTGGTAAGGCGACGAAGACGGCGTAGAAAGGCCGCCAAGAAACGCAGGTAGCACCAAGAGGGTCTTACGTCACTGGATTCGAGCGTGGCACCAACCTCGAGGATGCGCTCTCCCTCGCCAGCTGTTAGAAAGAGTCGCAGCTGCTCAAGAGGACGCTCTCACTCCAAGAGGCGCACCCACTCCAAGGGGCGCTCCCACTTTAAGGGACGCTCCCACTCTAGGCTACGCTTCCAAGAAGCTTCGAAGACCTGGGTGGATCGTGCCAAGCCAAGCCCGGCGCAGCAGCCAGCACAGGTAACGCACGCAGCACTGCCAGAGCAAAAAGAAGACCCTAGGATTGCATTCTTACTTAAAGAAAATGCTAGCTTAAAGGCGCAGCTTCAGCAGATGAGGGTCGAGTTTGAAGCCCTCAAAAATACAGCACAGGCCCCGGTGCAGTCTTCGTTAGTAGAGCCGCGGCCGGCTAAGAGAAAGATAGATGCAGAGGAGGGGGGGTAGCGGCGGCTTCCGACGTGGACGACTTGGGAGCAATCAAAAAATTACAAAAGGCGGTAGCACGGCAGGTAGAATGCTTTGACCTCGTAGCATGTAAAGTTGCCATGATCGAAAGCAGACTCGCTCCAGGCGGGAATTATTTTGTCCCGGTGACGCCTGTTTCACTTGCTCCATCTGCGTTCCCCGGTACGCCGATGGATCAGGCTCCCGTCGATATGGACGTGCTGTTAGGTCGGTAAACCAGTAGCAGTAGCCATGGCTCCCAACGCCACTGAGTTCTTCATTTGGCAGTGGAACTGCGTGGGGTTCAGGAAGCGTAAGGCCTTCCTCCAGCAGTACATTGCTTCATTGGCAGTTCAGCCGCATGTGATTGCTTTACAAGAAACCATTGACAGGGCGGTTAGCTTGCCCGGCTATCGATCCATATTGTTTAGGGGGGGGGGCCAACGTGGTCTGGCTGTCTTGGTTTCGAACAATGCATTTTTAGAGCACATGCTTGCGCTCGGCAAATCTACTTTTTAAGCTCAGCTGGTTGAAATTATTCCGAATAATTGGCTCAAGTGCAGCATATTCGTCCTGAATGTTTACAGCAGCCCTTGAAATCACAAGCAGGCGTTTTCCTCGGTGGTTGCAAAGGCGGCTACCCTTGCAGGCAAGTCACCACTGGTAGCTATCGGGAACTTTAACGCACCTCACCCAGCCTGGGGTAATCCAAAGGCCACTCTTAAAGGGAAAAACCTTGTTAAAACTATGACGGACTGTTCCTTAGAGCTGGGCACGGGTTCCCAACCCGGTTGGGCAATTCTGTTTCAAGAGACACCACTGCGGATCTGGCATTCATCAGAAATGCGGGAAAGTTTCAGTGGGTTAACTTTCAAAAAACCCTAGAAAGTGATCACTTTATCCTCGCAGTTACACAGGAAACCCAAGCGGCTCCACCTAAAGAGTACAGGGTGATGGACTGAGACGAGTTCAGGAAGTGCCGGAAAGCTGATGAGACCGAATATGCCACGTTAGAGGAACTCTTTTCTCGACTCGCGGATGATGAGCTCCTCGCCACCAAGACTGTCCAAACCGACTTTCAGGTAGATACGATGGACTTGCGTCTTGCGCATTTATTGGAGGCAAAAAATGGCTGGTTGAGAGATGGCGCACACAAAAGCTAAATAGGAGGCTCCGCAAACGCAAAGCTCTCCTCATTAAATATACTGAAGAATATTGTCAGGAGCTTTCTAAGCAGCAGTAGAACGAGGTTTGCTCGAAAGTAGATGGGCAGATGCGCACTGGAGGCAAATGGAACCTGTTGAATGTACTACTCGATGAGACAAACTCCAAAAGCAACCAGAGGTTGGCAATCGACCGCATAGTTCAAGCACAGCGGAGCAGTGGAGTCACTGACACCACTTTACTCAAGGATTTGGCAGAGCAATACCTTCCGCTTGGCTCCTCCGGGGACTGGGATTACTCGGTCTAGCAGGGAAGGCCGCTCGAGGAAATCGACTCGCCCTTTACGAACCTTGAGATCGAAGAGGTGCTTCGTGCGCTTAATAGCCGCTCAGCCCCTGGTCCAGACGGCGTTACAAACAGGTTGCTGCGCAATCTCGACGGAAAGTCAATCGCTAAGTTAACCGAGGAGGTCAATATCCTCTGGGCAAAAGGTCGCGTACCTGAGACCTGGCGTACCGCCTCGGTAATACTCATTCCCAAGCTGGGCAAGGTACCCGCCATTGAGAACCTCCGTCCCATTTCCCTCACATCTTACGTAGGGAAGGTGATGGAGCATGCAATACACAACAGAGTATCTCGGTATATTGAGGATAAAGAGCTGTTTCCGTACAACATGGTAGGTTTCCGGCCGGGTCTCTCCACCCACGATGTGATGCTGCTGATTAAGAGGCAAATTATCGACCGACACACCCGAGATGTTTGAGGAATATCGGCCCTTGATCTCGCCAAGGCCTTCGATACGATTTGACATCAGTTGATACTGGAGCAGGTAGAGCGCATGGGATTATGTCCCAAGTTCCATGCCTATGTTCGCGCCTTCCTCAGGGACCGCAAAGCCACCATACAGATTGGCGAATTAAAATCGGAGGCTTTCACCCTGGGTGCGAGGGGCAAGCCGCAGGGAGCGGTAATTTCACCCCTTTTCTTTAACATAGCTATGAAAGGTCTCTCGGAGCGCCTCTCCACTGTAGCTAATATCAACCATGCCTTATATGCCAAACGACATTACAGTCTGGTGCATGGGTGGTTCGGATGCTGAAGTGGAGCAGGCGCTCCAATATACTTTGTCAATCACAGAACGTTTCCTGCGGGGTACAGGGCTTCAGCTATCCACCTCTAAATTGGAGTTGCTTCTCTATTGACCAGTTCGACCCGGAAAAAGGAACGAGTCACCGCCTGATCAAGTGCAGATTTCTATAACCACACGGGATGGGCAGCCGATTCCAAGAGTCAATTGTATTTAGGTGCTAGGCTTCCTTTTTGAATCTAACGGCAGAAATTTGCAGGTTTCGGCTCACATCACCTCCAAAACGGAGAACATGCTCAGACTAATATTGAGGGTTTCAAGCCGCAGGGGAGGGCTGAGAGAGAGCAATCTCCTTCGGCTATTCCATTCATTCCTGATATGCCACATTAATTACGTGGCATCCTCGCTAAATTGGTCTAAACGCGAGGAGAATAAACTCGGCACTTTATTGCCTAAAAGCATCAAAAGGCTACTAGGCCTACCTATGAGCACCAGCACGGACCGGCTCATGAGTCTGGGCATGCACAACACCCTCACGGAGGGGACCGAGGCACAAAGACTAGCTCAGGTAGCGCGATTCTCCTCCACGAAAGCTGTGCAGCGTCTCCTACAGTCGCTAGGATACCACCATACGACAGGGGAGGAACAGATCTTCTTATCACAAACAATGAAGGGCACGTACGAGGTGGCCCTCTTCCCGCGTAACGTTCATCCACAGTACAATGTTGGCCGGCGAAAGGCACGGGCCAAGTCTCTCCTTGATTTCGTGGCTAAGTCCACGGGTAGAGTAGCTTTCGTCGATGCGCCGCAGTACGGCCGCTCCGATTGTTTTGCAGCTGTGGTCGTTGATCATCGCAATCACGTACTCAACTCAAATTCCGTGAGGAAAGCGTCTGCCTCCGTAGCAGAGCAGGTAGAGATAGCCTTGGCGATGACAGACCCGTCGCGTCCAGAGATATTTACTGACTCCAGGGCGGCCGCCCGGGCGTTTGCCTCGGGGGTAATCTCCAGGAAGGCTGCCGCTATTCTAAATTCCAGGGGTGTAGTAGGCCACCACACAATCACTTGGTTTCCGGCCCATATGGGCTCAGAGGTTCATCCGGCTCTTCTCAACGCCAACGAACTTGCAACCGTATGCGAGAAATCACGTGCCATGGCGGTCCGGGCGGGTACGGAGATGGGTTCGCAGATAACTTTAAGGATCCACTTGGCACCTTTAACGAAGTGACGTCCCATTATCAGTTGCGTAGGTGGAGGTACCCGCTTCCGCATTCCAAGCTCACTCGACCACAGTCGTCGGTTCTTCGGATGCTACAGGCAGGTTCATTCCCATCTCGTAGCACATTCAGCCACTTTGCTGATGGCATAACTCCAGGATGCCCTTGTTGTGAGGCACGAAACTGCACACTCACTTACATGCTCTAGCAGTGCCCGGCGCTATATGGCGCAAAGTTCAGCACAGAAGAAGACTGAGAGAGGGCTCTTAAAAGTCCCGAACTACCAGTCTAACACTCGGCAGTCCAGGAGGCCTGCGTACGGGCGGAGAGCCGCGGTCTTTCAGTCCTGGCGTGGACGCGGCCAGCAACTGCGGCGGACACCTCTTAGGGGGGTGTCTTACCTGTTCTCCAGGACCAAATAAAGTTCATTTCACTTCACTTCACTTCACCACCAGTGGCTCGCTACCACCACCACCATTTGCCATTATTTTTTCCACTGTCGCCGTCATCAGCCATTATGCCCACTACAGTTTCTACCATATCCACTAATATTTCCACCATATTCAGTATTACTTCCACCTTATCCACCAATGATTCCAGCTTCCACCAACTCAGTATTTTCAATAGGATGTGGTTAAGAAGAATGTGAAGGAAACAGATAGAGACATGTGGAAGATTGGAATGCTGGCGAAATCATCACTGCAAACCCACCGAACGTTCAAGCAGGGAGTTGCGATATAAAAGATCTACAATAACTCTCGGAATAGTTCTCTGCTGTTCGAGGCCAGAACGGGAGTATTGCAGACAAAGACTTACTGAGCCAAATATGATGGCAGAAACACGTTTTGTTATGTAGTGCGTGTAGAGAGGGGAATAACACGGCTGAGCATTTGTTAATGTTCTATAAAGGGCAACACCCAATTGTCCATGATATTGACGCGGAATTTCTCAAAGTACTAGGGTTTTGCAACAGTGAAGGGAAAGTAGACATTGAACGGCTAGAAATAACCTGGAGGAGGCTAACTGATTCGTGCTTTTAATCAAGGTGCAAGTGAAATTCAATCCTTGAACACATAGGGGTAGTACTTAATCTAATGGCTAGGTGGCCTGAGTGTCCAGTCGAGTTAAAGGCCTAGCCGGATACATTCATTCATCGGACAGACCGGACAGAAGTTGGCTGCTGGTGCCGCTATGGGGTCAATGCGTATTACTATTGCGAGAGCGATTATATGGACACTCCGGCTGCATTTTGCCGCTGGCGTCGACATCACTCACCGTATATGTATGCGTATATATATATATGAACAGGCAAGAAAAAAAACAATTATCTAAAAGACTCCGGCATGCAAAATTGAACTTGGATCCTCTAAAAATGAGAGCAATGCGTTGATCACTGAGCCACAGAGAAGCACGTCCTTCAGCGTTTAAACGGCAAGTTATCTATATCTACCACTTACCACGGCTGACGACCATCTCGGAAGGAACTATCGTATATTCAGCATTACCAGCAACACGGCGCAATGATTGCGCCTAACAACATCGTCACGACGCGGTGCCCGTGCTCTTATCTCCCACACGCACTTTGCTTTGCAAAGAGCAGGGAGTCGACGCTCCTCGCGTCCCCTCATCTCACCGTAGGGAGGATCGTGCATCTTGGCTGGCGTTAGGCTGTTACCGGAACAAATGTGTTTTAATTGCCAGGGGCCCAAAGGTAACTGCAATCATCGCACAGTCTATGTTTGCAAAAAGAGCGCTGTTTTAATACACAGCAAAGAACTGAGACGCTTATTCGCGTTTACTTTTCCTAAAAGTAGGTATCTTGCACCATTTGTGCATGAGAAACGTGGGGCACGTTTATATCCGCGGGCCATCCTGCGCGTGACTTTCCAATTTATTGCTATTGCGTTCATTGCTTAACTTTTGCGGCAAAGCTGTGAATATTCGTGGCATGCCATGTCGTAGTTTTTCACCGAATGATTATTGTTGTGCATAGTGCGCTTTGCCTGAAGACCTGAAAGGATACCGTATACCTTCTGGGCACATGGTAGTCGGCCTGGTCACAAATGAAATGGCGGAAAATGTCTCCTAGCTCTCGCTGTCTATAGTGATCAGCGGGAAAAGTGTAAACGCGTAATGCCATGAAAAAGAACTGCTGGCTTTACGATTGTTTCCAGAATGTGCGCGCGTGCGAAAAGCATTTCGATCAGAGTGACATCGTTCGCGTAGACCAGTGGCTAATCGGAGTTGTTGTGAAATCATCGCGCGTCGTTCTGAAGCTTTTGCCGACCCTTTGATGATAACTTTCCACTGTCTCACGGCGTACTTGTATAGCGCGAAAAATGTAGAGCTCATTCGCCTCTAGGGTCGACGGCAACCGTTAGCGAGCTGGATACTGTTTAGGCTGCATTGGGCTGTGCATGAGCCCTCTGGACATTGCTGTAATGAATATATACGCATTTAGTGAAGGTGAGCACACCGGTTGCCTCTTCCTCGT